TAATTTAGATTATAGTAATTAGTAATTGTATTACTAATTACAAATATAATTTTTTTAAATGAAGTGTGATTTCGAATATTTCGAATATAAGCCGCACCCCAGTTTTCCTCTTGAATTTTTGGCAAAAAAATGTGCGGCCTATACATGCGTAAATACGGTATGTTGCTGCTGTATAATGGTCAGCATAAGACTAGTTGAAAGATAAACTGTTGCGGAGATTAAATAGAACAGGGAAAAACTTGAAAACTGTCGGTGCTTACAAGGTGAAAGATACTGTTAAGGGTGTGACAGATTGTGAAATTTAATTTAAAAAATTAAAGGGATCAAAATAATTTTTTACATAATATGTACTGTAGTACGGCAAACATACAGCAGCTTGAAATTTGTCTAACTAAAAAAGAAATAAATCTTGCAATATATGTTGCTGCTATATAATGGTCAGCATAAGTGCCTGGGATAGTCACAAACTACCTTCCCCACATCAAACAATGGGGTACAGTGTTAACAGTATGTGCAAGAAGCTGATAATGTATGGAACCACGATGGCCATGATTATGTGCATGTGGAAGGTTCCAAAAAGCATCTTATATATCTTTCAACACTCCAACATTAAATGATACTACACACAAAAATAAAATTTTCTATATAATTTCTGCAAATTTTAAAATTATGATGGATCTTTTAACTTGAACTGCATGCAGTGGAGGAAATGCACATGGACTGTGATCTCAATATGGCCTACATAATTACCAAAGTACAAAAAATGTGTGGTATCCCTAATGTTCCACATACTTGCACTCACACTACCTTATGAAAGCTTCCTTTCACACAGTATATAACTTAACCTTAACACAATCACAATAACCACTAAATAAAATGATATGCTTACCTATCTTTTGCAGATGGAAGAGGTGAAGCACACGTGTATACAGTAGAATTGGAATCACAGCCTTGCCGATGATTTACCACTGATCCAATCTTGTGACTGAGAGGTCCTTGTGGAGACAAGTTGGTTTTCTGACCATTGACAGTACAAGTAGCAACCGTGGCTGCAGCAGACACAACACTTTTCTGTGGCACTGATGGAATTTTAGGTTCACGCTCGTACATCATAATATATGCATTAGTGTCTAGGACTGCCGACAACGAGATAGGCCGCACAGAGCTGTCATCAAATTGATAGTAATGACCCATAGAAGTCTGTGCCACTGCAGTGTAGTGGCCACAGTGGACCGATGAGCCAACATGTGTTACCATGGAAACAAGACGATATGTAAGTGGCACTGGGCCACGATGAGCTGACTGAGGACAAAGGAACCTCGTAAGATCCAGTCTCAGGGAGAATGAAACATGTTTGTTGATCTTTCCTCCCAAGATGCTGAATCTATAAGAAAATAAAGTTTCTTTCAAGATAAGCACAAAAGTGTTAAGAATTATGAAATTGAACTCATTATGACATCCACTAACACAACAGATGTGTACTCCTATTACAATCAAACACAGCAGTCCTACAATGCGACTCACAACTTTCTTCTGCATAGCACAAGGTCCTCCTCCAATATAAACAGAAACATAGGCTCAAAATGCCATACAATGGGTGGTATAATGCGGTGTAACAACAATGCATCTTGCATGAAACTGTAGTCTGTACAGCAAGATGATCTGTAATTAAGGACAAATGTGGGATATGGAAAGGAACTTGTGTGTGTGTCTGTGTGTGTGTGTAATTTGGGCAGGCATCACAAGACAATACAATAATGTTTTCATATAAGGACTCATGCTGTAAGATTCCCACAAGTTTTCTTAAAATAATAACATCAATCTGGTGCAAAAATGCATGAAATTCTGCTCAAGAATAATAATTATACTCTGGTATTCATTGCTCTGTTATGACCACTTGACCTTCTGAAATTCTGAAATAAACAGCATAGATGAATATATACTTACACTACGAAGGCAAATTGAAAAGTCTTTATCCGTATTTTTTTTTTCAGCCAAAATATTAGTGTGATTGAGTAACCGGGTTATACATTCGATGCAACAAGGTATGCTTTGACTGGCCCAGGATTAACTCTCGGCTGCTCCACGGCACTGCACTGCTGTCAGTCAGCAAATATGGCTGGTGTGCTCAACATGTCCACATCATATGAGCAGCAAAGTGTTATTCGTTCTCTATGGAGCAAGGGACGAACGCCCATCGAGATCCATAGGGAAATGCAGCCGATGTATGGGGACAAATGTCTCACTTTGAGAAGTGTGCGGTGGTGGTTACTCCGAGGAGGGATCGCTGAGGACCACTCCTGCTGCATTTCATGCCACAAGGTGCCACCATCAACACGGACAGCTATTGTGGCACACTTGCACTGCGAGCTGTCATCAGGAAAAAGTGCCCAGAGATTCTTGTGGACGATGTGGTTCTCCTCCATGACAACACCAGACCTCATGTGGCAAACAGGACTGCCACCCGACTGCAGTCATTCGGATGGGAGATTATGGAGCATGCACTGTATAGTCCAGACCTCGCCCCCAGTGATTACCACATGTTCGGTCCACTGAAGAAGTTCCTGGCAGGCCAGAGGCTCATTTCCAATGACGCAAAAACCGCTGTCCAGCGGTGGTTCCACGCTCAACTGGTTGAATTCTACAACAGCAGCATCTCCAAACTAGTGGTGCAATGGGACAAATGAATGAACCGGGGTGGTGACTATGTGGAAAAATTGTCAAAGGTATACTGCCTGTATTTTGATTTCCCTGTATGTGTATTATTGTGGCTGAAAAAAATAGGGGCAAAGACTTTTCGAATTGCCCTCGTACAACCAGAATTTGGAATTACCACTTCAAATTCCATCAAACTGCTAAGTGTGGGTTTAAATGACCATTAAATGAAATCTAATGAAAATTATTGCAGACTTCTGAAAAATAAACCATTCTTGCAGCAGACTTCATCTTTGGCCAGAATCTGTGGTTACAGCACTAAACTGGACGAACTGTTCAGACCTACGAATGGAAAACACATTTCTGAAAAACAAACATGTCAGTTAAGGAACCAATCACGGTCACATATTATGTGTGACTATAGATGGGATTAATGATTGGATTTATTGACCACTTATAAACACATGACTCAGAAGTACAAGTAATTACAATGCCACCACTAATCCCCACAGTTCACAATTCACCATAGCAACAGACTGCTGTCTTCTTCAGCAGTTCCCAAGCAATGGCTTCTAACAGTGGAGATTCTTCAGATTCATGCACTCATGCCACTACTGGCTGGCCACCATCTCACAACTGAACTCATGCTCCAAACTGTCCTGGTTATAAACATCTCAGCACAGACCATGTAGAAAACACCGTTTCCACTGTTGTAGTATAACTGTTGCATTATTAAGAATCTGCTGCCTAGCAACAGGAACATGTGTACCCAGCCGTTGCCCAGAAATGGTCACAGCTTACAGAGCCGCCGCCGCCACCATGATAATGATTATCATAATCAGATGAGAAATGAAATATTAACACTGTTCCAGAGAGTATCATTATGATACAAGGGATACTCTGGACGCTGGATCTCACACCACTAATAACAATGAACACAATGCTGAACCATTCCATCCACCTCCATCCCTGAGAATTACATCCTACACAATATTACTATATTTCACACATAATTAACAACATACTACGATTAGGAAGATTATCGTCATAACCTCCACCTCTTACAAGCAACAAATGGCATTCTGAAACAAACAGCAGGCAGGCAGGTTGAGCAAAGTGGCATGACATCACATTAGGCAAGAACTGCTCCATTTGCTACATAGCACTGATCTGCAGCATACAGTAACTGAAATATCTGATTTCAACTGAGACTGTAATAGATCAACATTTTTGTTTATTAAAACTCCCCAATATCAAATTCTATTAATATCTGTTCACTGGCCTTCAAGCTGGTTCATAAATACAGACATAGTGAAATTAGCAGGCAATCCACAAGGCTGCAGATGCACCTCAAATTGTTTCATATTTCCCATGCCATACTAACTGGACCACACATAAATCATGCAGCCTTCAAAGAACATAAAATGGGGGCACAACCTTTAAAGGAAGTCCAGAAATATATTATGTGTTTCTTAAAATATACAGATGTTAAGTGTATGATTTCTGAAATTAAAATAATATACCTCTTGAACTGTATGCAAAGAACTTGAGGAGGTTTCTCCAAAGAAAATTTCTTTGTAGCTGAAACTTTCCTGTGACATCGCTCACATCGATAGGCATCATCCCCATCTAGACGTTCTTTGCAGAAATAGGCTGCCAAAGCATCATCCAATGTGGATGCACGTCGAATATCCAGGAGCAAGTCCTGACAGTGCTGGAATGTTGTGGACACACCACCACACTGCAAGCACGTCACTGCAACAACACAGCAACAAGTCCTATTACACAGTGTGTTCAAAATCAGCATACACGATGGAAAAACTGAATCATGTCACTATCAATGAAGATACATGTAAGTTGTCTGAGGTGAAAAGTGTAAAAACTTGTTGAATATTTGGTCATGTCAGTAGATCTCAATATATACCTCCCTTCTGGTGTGGCAGACATCTGACCAATATTCTACCCTTTTCCAGGCGTGTCATAAGATCTCTGAGTTACAGACTCCACTGCATCAGAAATCATGTGACACAGATCAGAAAGGTCATTAACTTTGGTCCAATACATGTTTCTGATGTGTCCCCACAGAAAAAAGTCAAGGTGGGTCATATCAGGGGCCACCTTGCCCAATCCACATTCCTGTGAATTGCTCACTGAGGAATTAACTCAATGATGGGTGTCAGGAAATGCGGCTATGTCTGTCCCATTTGCTGGAAGATGTGTTCAACAGGTGCCTGTGGCACACTACTGTCAAAGTTTGCAGCAACTGTCACTGGTTTTCATAGAACTGCTTCTGCACTGGCTGATACGCACCACACTTTCAATTTTGGGCCATCCTGTTCTTCTTCCTTCATATCATGACAATTCTGAGATCCCCTGATATGACAATTATGGCAGTAAACTTTACCCAAGATGTGAGAAACAGCCTCATCACTAAGCACACAGTTGTCTGTGTCAGGAGTGAAGTCAGAGGACTGCAGAAAGTAACTCTGCTGCAATTTCTGAAGCAACTCCAATTTGCACGCCAAGAGTTTTAGCCAATTATGCTCATCATCATGGACTACTGAATGAAGAAGTCACAGTTCACAGCTTTGCTCAACAAACTGACTATGGCAGACTTCATTTGAAAGCTGCCCAAATGGCAATGACATGTCACCCACAGTCTACTGCCTGGACTGTCATTCACAACTCCCATGTCAGCTATCAATTGTGTCTGTCTGGTGATCAGAACTGCAGTTCTCACTGAACTTGTGCTGAACAGTCACGGAAAATAAATTCTGCCAGCCAGTAACAGCATTGAGTTCTCTCTTGTGGTGTGAAAAATATTTGCACAAACCAACAGTTACTGCTACATGAACAGTGGTGTTACACACTGTCATACTTGGTACATTTTTATTTCAACTTTTCACCACAGATCACACAAGCGTAACTCACTGAGAGTGAAGTTATTCACTTTATTCCTCCTCACAACATTAAAGGCATTATAAGTGCCTCTTTACTAGAACAACACTAGCACTATGATATCACAACAGAGAAGGCAACAAATTATAGAATAATAATTAACACCATCCAGTGTGATTCAATTTGTAGATATTTATTGCCTTTCCATGTTTCCATCAGCTGACCATCTTCAGAAGGCATTACTCCTCAGAGGACCTTGTAGTGTCCCCCTTCCCTTTTTTCAGAGGACTCCAAATAGTACCGCAACATTCCGTTTCAACAGAAGAGGCACAAAGACACTAAAAATATCGGTTTGAGATCTTAAATATTAGACATTAATAAGATTTTAATCCAAATAATTGTAAATATTTTTCTTATATAAAAACTTCTAAGCATGTATTACAAACTGTGCAATAGCAGTTCCTGAACATGTTAATCTTATGTCTTCCGAAGATGGTCAGCTGATCGAAATATATAAAGGCAAGAATGAATAGAGTTAAGTAAAGGCAACACTTTCTACCTTTCATTAGTAATGCCAGCACATCCTGAATTAATAACAGGGACTGAAATTAAAATATTTGACATTACTCCAACATCCATTTATTATGCAATTTTTCCAGTAATTTATTCTCTTTACGAAAAAAGCTGCCAATCCAATATTCTGTCATGTATGGACAGGGGAAGAAAAGAGAGGTGTGTCTCATGGTTTTCACCGTACCTTCTGTTCTGATATAACCACCAAATATTTGATTCAGTGGTGTAGTTTCCTTGCTGTAACTGTCCAGCCTGCAGGGAAAGAGAAGAGGTGCTTTTATTACAAATTTATAAGAATAAAATATAGCTATTTAGGATGCTACAATTCGTAGGCAATTCATTAAGTAATTCTATAAACATAGAAAATTCATACAGACACAATGTGCCAACAGCACCGAAAATTAAGTTTACTTCATCACTCTCACAAACCAAGGAATATGGTGAAATTCTGAATGGCACTACAACTGCTCAGTTCAAAAATTTTCACCTTCTGCAGCTTCCTGCAGAGCCCAGATTGGAAATTTTGAACTTCACAAAAGTCACCAACTGAACACTGAAAGACCTTCAGCTTAGAAATGAAATAACTATGCTGCCACAAGTGGAATGGTTTTGGTGCACATTCAATACATTGTTTGTGACATCAGTCGCCGTAAGTTACAGCTGTGCAGTAACAATTCCCAGCAGAAAGAAAATCTGAATATCCATTGTTGTTTCAACCACAACTGCACTAAACTAAGGTAAAAGTTCAGGAGAGTCAAAAACTTTGGATAATGAATGCAGGTTGTTTTTCAAAATTTAAATTGATGAAATATAGGAACATAATGTTCATGTTTGCACTGGGCCTTGATTTGGGTCAGAAAAAAATATTCACTATATATGGGATCTTGCTACATGCAGGAACACTGTATCAGGGTTACATTCTATTTTTGACCCATCTGGCAGTATAATTTGTGCTTGTTCTTAACACATCAGCTGAATGTGTCAGAACTCGTACAATGCTTTTAAACATTCAATAGTAATTACAAAAACTCTAAGACAGGTAAGCATGAAACTTTCTGAAATGAGATGTGTGCAATTAATAGAAACACAGAAATAAAATCTGGATTTTCACCCACACAACCAATTTCCTCAACAGCAGCATAAAGAAAAAACATACTTGAGGTCTTTGTAGCGAGTCAGGTAGGATTTCTCCATGCTTTCTAGAAGATAGCGCATGAACTCATGCGCGTCCTCTTGCTGACCATGCACAAGGTGCTTGCAGATAACTGAAATATGTAACTTACATTAATTTCATCAACAACAGAACAATTACTTCACAAATGTATCTTTCATTTAAAGTACGATTAAGGTGATAATCACATTTAAAATCTATAAAAGACACAGAAAAAAGTGTAAATAAGAAATAAATGTCCCAGAAGTGTTACAGTTTCTGTTACACAACACCTCAAAGCTGTCAGAAACAGTTACGATCAAACTACTATTAACCTCTCAGCATGGTTCTATGTAATGTTACATCTGGCATGTAACTGCTGTATATGTGGTTTGGTGTACACCCTACATTTGGTTGTAAGCTTATTTATCTGGCCTGTAAATAAGTAACTAATAACTCCTGTGTGATGAGGTTTGCACTGGCCTTCTATTTCCTACAGCTGGGTATGTCAGTCCAAATATTAACGTGTGACCTCACAGTTATTATGACCAGCCCGGCAACAAGTTTGTGCTCATGCAGCTTGAACAAACGGAAGTTTTGAATGAATATAGTTCCGAAAATTAAAGTGTTTTTGATGGCGATCATATACGTAGCACGTCCACAAAGTAAGTTTCCCACTCATCCCACAGCTAGCAAACCTTATATTGCACGAAGCGACTGCACGTACGTGATAGAGCAATGACGTAGCATGGCGCATGCACAAACGGAATTTCCCGCGTTCCCACAGTAGCACTGTTGCAGCTGTTGAAGATGGAGGCTCTTATTCCAACTCCCGCCGACTGTGAAGTGCGGTCAGTGATAAAAGTTCTTGAATGCACAGAGCATAGTGCCAATCAAATTCATTCGTCAGNNCCTAACGTCATGAGCAAGCAGATGGTGCATCGCTGGTGCAGACAATTTTCAGCAGGTCGACAAAGTGTGCATGATGAGAAGCGCAGTGGGCGGCCATTCATCATTACAGATGACCTGGTGGAGCTTGTGTGGGAACGCATTATGGAGAATCGTCATGTCACAATTGCGGAAGTCAGCAGTCATCTCCCGCAGATTTCCCGCACCTTGTTGCACGAAATTGTCATGGAGCACCTGTTGTTCAGGAAATTGTGTGCCAAAGCAACTGACACCAGAACACAAAACAAAGCGCATGGAGTCAGCATTGACCTTTCTGCAGCGGTACCATGA